CCCCATATTGGTCAAGGCGAGTGATCAATTGCCTAGATTAACACTCCACATGGAGAATAGGCAGTAGTACAGGTTCAAGATAAGGACTGCTTTTGATCAGTAAAAGTTAATGCATTTATTATTTGTTATAGGCACTGGTTGCTGTGCCTATAATATTGCTTGTATGCAAACATGACATCTCAAGCAAGATGGTGACTGGAACTGCTGCTGTTGAGGTTCCATATTTGAAGGCAAATATCTTACAAAGGGCACATATTGGACTTTTCTTTATTCTTTACTGACAAATATCATTAGAATTACTGTTAAATGTGAGATAGGCTTAGCAGAGCACTCAGCATGACTCTCTATAGAGCCTGGAAGTAGACTGATTTCAGAGGGACTATATCTCATGAAGGATCACGTATAGAGGTTTAGTTCCTTTGATGAGTATGGTATTTTTGCTCCTATGGCATGTTTTATAGCCCTGTTAATTTAAGGTCCCAACAGTATCATTCACATTTTAAATCTTACCTGAATGAGTCTTTTCAATGACAAAATGTCTAAACATTGCAATTGTCATAAAATACATCCTTGTCAAGGAACCATTAGAAAGCTTATTACTTTCCAATGCACATAAGGTACAGGTAACCCCATATAACACGGTACTGTTATAGCACGGATTCACTCTGACACGGTTCGAGAATTGGGTAAAACTCTCATACAACATGAAATGTAATAAATTTTTACATACTTAAGTAATAATAGTTCACGAAAATTATTATTTTCATGAACTATTAGTACTTAAGTATGTAAATTTTCTTTTCTTGCCTTCTGTCGATACACATGGGCCTTCTCAAAACTTGTTTCAGTGTTGTCAGATCTTGACGCTTATGATTTTGATGTTGCCAGATGTTTTTCCCTTATTCCATACTTTCTTTATTCTTCATGAGTGCTTAGCACCATGTAAGGAAAATTATAAAGATCTTTTAACTAGAAGCAAGCAATCTGAAATTACATACTTTTTGCAAAAAGGTAAAGCATGGATCTGAAGATAATGCAGAAAAAAGCTCTCGGTTAATAGTGTTTTTAGTGATGACGAAAAAAACATTGTTTAATTTATATTAACTCCTTAAGGACATAGACATTTTTGAGATTAATTTATTTAAACGTAAAAAATACTTAAAACTGAAAAAACACGAAAGAAATGCGTTAATTTTGAAGAAAAAGCTTTAAATTTTATTTGATGAGTCATTGTTTACACAGCTGGGTGACCTTGAACACAGCTGGAGTCCGATTTCCCGGGACATTCTCATAGACGTCTCGGGAGGACAAGGGTTTAAAGTAGGGTGACTATAAGCGACACAGAAATTTTTAAATATTTTTAAAAAATTCAAAATTTTATTGCGATTTCCGACCCCCCCAAATTAATTAATTATATATTTATAAAAATATATTAATTAAAAAAATTAAAAAACCATCGGAGGTCGTTTTTGACATCAGAAACTAACTTTAAATAACTTTACTGAATGAAAATCCGTGCGCTACAACTTAAAAACCATGAAATAATTTTGATAAAAAACTCCCATTAAAAAACAATTAAGCCTTAATCGAGCCTTCACATAGGCTCATTAAAATCGCGATAAAATTTTTTTGCGCGGGAAAAAAATTTTGAAAAAATTTCGGGACCTAAAAAACATTCCAAAAATTCAAAAAAAAAAAATTTTTCAAAAATGGCCTTAAGGACCTCATTTTATGTAACGTTATGTAACTTGCCCGAGATATCTCGGGTTATGGGCTTAAGGGGTTAATATGTATCATTTAAGAAAATTTTAATAAAGATATTTATCTTAATTATAAAAATATAATAGCATGTTTTTTTAATTTTTGGGACCTAGCCCTCCTTTTTGTGCTAGTTCTTTGTTTCGTATAACACAGATTTGCATAACGCAGCAATTTTTTGGAACATAACTATCGTGTTATACGGGGGTTACCTGTACCTTAAAACTCCTTATTTCATCCTCTCTACTAACTTCCATACCCCTTTGACCAAATCTGAAACAAATTCCACATAATTACTCTCTGATACCCTATGGAAAACATGGACTACCATAAAACTCAAACCCCTCACTCCTCCTCTGATTTGTTCTACTCTCAAACTCACAAATTTTTCGAGTGATCCAAACAAATTTTACGTAGCTAGTCTCTACAATCCTTCAAAAAATATAAGCTACTTTAAAACAGACTCTCACTCCTTTCCCTGATTTTATCCCCACAAGTTGATAAATTCTTTGGTTGATTTGCATCAAATTTTGCATAATTACTCTCTGCCATTCTGTGGGAAACATACATTACTCTATAATGAGGACAACTCAACCTCCTCCATGAGTTCCCAAGCATCACTGGGCATTCTTTGCTAGTTCACAATAAACGCATACATAAGATTCCGTAAATTATGACTGCTTTATATAATAGTATATTAACTTAAATTATCCTAGAAATTTATTAAGACTGTAATAATTTAGTAAGTTCTGTTTGATACAGCTAAACATCTTTTATCCATTAATTGATAGTCTCTATTATGTCACATTACTAGAGTGTGCCAAATGTTTGAAGTCATACAATAGTAACAGCATAAAATGCAATATTCTTTATTATTGACAAGACTATGTCTTGTTTATAAAATCGTACTGCCTGCTGTGTTACCAGCTTAGAGGTATGAAGGATTACATATCAGGAGTTGCAATTTGGCACAGAGTATTAGGTGCCCAAATCATGTGCACATAAAAAAACCAGACTTGTAGGTACTCGGGACTGAGAACAGAGTCAAAATAAAATACAAAATGGCGACTCTATCTACAAACAGGCAAACCGAAGTCAGGTAGTGAGAGTACCACCCACAGTTGTTCTAGGAAGTGAACTCTGACCCTAGGACTGGAGACATAATATTTTCTTTGTTAAATAAAATTTGTGATCTAATTTTGTAAATTTGGGAGTGCTTCAAATGTGACATTAAAACAGGGTTTTGTGTCGTTACAAGTAGGTTTTTTAACATTATCTAATACAATAGAGTCCCGAAGGGTGGCCAAGTTTGTGAAAATGCTGGGATATCAGGAATGGAGTTAAAAAAGAATAAGTATGACTGTTTCCTCAGAAAATATTGTACTGTATTTGTATGTATTGTTTGCTCAAGAATACAACAAAGAATAAACTGCCCAAATACCCTTAAACAAAGGAAAAGTATGTATTTTATGAAGTCATAGATCCTTTACTACATGAAAATGAAAATTAATGAATACACAGTGTACAGTAATTTATCTGATAAGACAGACCTCAGAAAAATATTTTGAGGCATAAAGCTGTCTATAATGAAAATTAACTAGCTGACTTTGCAAAAACTGGCAACTTTTTTTTTAAAGAAATGCGTAATGTCCTGTTAACAGTCTTCCGCAATGCACTTTGTGTTTTGCTGCTTCATTACGAAGACGACAAAGGAACAGCAAGTCCATTACCAACGTACCTTGTTGTTCATAATACTGAAGGGCGGTTTCGACAGCCTTTAGTCCCTCACTATGTGATATTTTAGGAGCTTGTATGGTGGAGTCTTCAATGTCAACATCTTCATCATTTTCTGGCATTTTTTCATTAACTGTGACAGCAGCAATAATTTCTGCATCAGACATAATGTCTTGCTTGGTATCGTTCTGGAACCACTGTTCGACATCATTTTCATCGGCTTCTGCACATCCAGGAACTCTTTTCAGGAGGTTGAGTAAGTTTACATTTTCTGCATCATCAACAAACTCATTTCCCTCGTGATCTAGGAGTTTTCACCAGGAATGAACTAGTGTTAATGACTAACTCATTCCAGGTGTCCAACACCCACCCAACAACACTCAATAGGTTAATTTTCTTTAAGTTCTGGATAAGACCTTGACCATCATCATTTGCAGAAAGAAGGGAGGATAACAGCTTGTGCCGAGTTATCCGGAGTATCGAGTTTTCGGGACTCTACTGTATAGTAAAATTATGGGACCAATAAAAATTTGACATTTTATTAGGGTTGTTACATCCAATGACGTTATAATCTGGTTAAACTGTATATTGTTTGTGCAAAATAAAAAAATAAGTTTTTGGATGATGTGATAGCCACGATTATTTTTTTCAAAAATGGGAAATTTTTGTTATGCATCGACAAAAATTCAATCTGGGGCAACACGCAACGGAGAGAAATTTCAAAATTGGATCAGTTAATTTCACAGAAAATGCATCGTGGAGGACCTTGTGTTTGTGGCTGGCGAAGTTTGAACGATTGCGCTCAAAACCAGTGATACCAAAGAAGATTGGAGAATGAGAATTAGACCCGTCTTGAGCATTAAAGTGATTCCACTTAGTAGTGAGTCTCTGAGACAGTCTTGTCCCAAATACGGTTTTGCTGTATTGCTTGTTTTACCACTATTTTCATATCAGGTTTTTACCACATTTTTAAGTGATGATGAACTAGTGCAACATGCAACAACTGTAGATAAATGCAAAAGTGGGACAGACAATTGACAACAGATGTGTGAGATTATGAGGACTAATGAAATTACACTGTTCAAGTGCATCAAATAGTTCAAAATGCAGGAAGAAGCAGAAGCAACAAAAGTGTTTCTTTTGAATAAAATTCACAACATTGCATCTGTGAATACTAGGAATGCAGTGAAACAAAAAAACAAATTACTGACTGATTGCTTAACAAATTAAACTTGAGTATGTTTGAACTTACGTTTTATGACACTTGTTTTATTTTACATTATATATCTATACAGCAAATGCGAGATATGTATCTTTAATGTTGTGTAGTACTTTTTAGAAAGCTTTTCTTAATTGTCATTTTGTTTGTTTATCAAACTTTCACACTCAACATTGTTAAATAGTTTAACTATAATTAAAATCCATTATTTGTCTTTATTCACAAACTTATTTAGACTATGCATATATTAGTTATTTTAATAAATAAATCAAATATATTACATTTTTAGGCATTGCAAAAGCTACTGGTCTTAATCCTCAAGATATTGCTGCTACATTATTTAATTTACAAATGGTTATGAGAAATGAAGAAGGAAAGTAAGTTAATACTTATTATTTTATTATTTAACTAGCTGCAAGAACCCGCTTCGCTGGGTTTTTATTTGTTTGTACATTTGTATGTAATATACTTTTTTTATATATATATAAAAGACTGTTTTTCTAAGTAATCTAGCTTCAAGGACCCGCTTCGCTGGGCAAAAAGTAACAATAGTGAAGATTAAGATAATTACATTATAGCCAATCTTATCCGTTTTCACAGAATGCAAGAATTAGGTTCCCCGTTTCCAGACTAATTAGAGAATTTTTACGCCCAGTCAAACGAACTATTTTCAATTTGATCAATTTTCTGGAACGTTTACAATCGTTCTATAACCGAACCAATTCAAATTTAAATTCAAAAATTTTTTAAATCGAAATAGAAAATCTTCTACTTTCAACCCCATATCTCCCGCACCCTTATAGCTATCGAGACGCAACCACTATAGTGCACGAATGGAGACTCAGGGCTACTACCACATACAAACAAACATTCATGTGCGATGTGTAGCTTTGGCTGAAAAGTGAAATATAGGGACACACACGTCCATTTTTATATATATATGTACTAAAATATTTGAATATTTAGCATTATTTTCTCGGTATTTTTATTTCTAAAAAAAATCTTGAGGAATTTAAATAACTATTGTATTTTTATTTGTGTGTTTTTTTGGTAACTTGGAAAATATATTATAAAAGCATATAAATATTGTATTATTATTAATTACATGACATTGTGGATACATTAGATCTAATTATTAGTTATATTAATTGGAAATTTATTTCATTTAACAAATAATTTTCAAGAAAACTATCTTTTAAATAATAAAATGATATAACTATATCTTCAATTATACTAAATCTCAATAGAAAGGCTTATTTAATACTTTACAGTAGATGTTTGACCTATGGGATTAGAATGACGGTGGATTATTTAATTGCCAAATTGCCAAGCATTTTTATATTTTTTCAAAATTTAGTAAGTTACATGCAATTTAATGTTGCAGACTTTGCTGTACATTTTGTAACAGTATATACTGCTATGTGCCAAATTTACTTGCTCACACTCTTTAATTAGTCTGAAGATGATACAGTGCATAAGTGTGTGTTAACATTGATTCAAAAGCTTGCAAAATGTTAATGAATGTGTTATTGTACAAAATTAACATACACAATGATTTGTGTGCATATATTTATTTTCTAAATGTACTGAATACATATGATTCACAACTGCTATGTATGCTCAGAATATGAGAAGTCTATTTTTAGGTAACCGTCTTTGCATTGGCCGTAGAGGAAAAAAGTATTTATTTACAAGATTGATCACACTCAAAGGCAATGCCCAGAAAGAAAAGAAAACTACCCTACAACAACAGAATAAAGCCATAGTAAAAATTAAATGATAAACAATAAATTTAAAATGGATAGAAAGCTTTTAACATAGCAGTTTATACCTAAAAAATATCAAGATGTAATAGATTTTCAACATTTACAATGACCTGAAAATCTGTGAATAAAGGTCTTTTTGGGAGACATTGAGTCAATAAAAAGGTTTATGAAAGAATGATGAATTACAAATGTTAATGGTGGAAGTATGTAAATTAATAAATTTAGGTGGAATGAGAACATTGGAAAGTATATGAATTATGATATAGTCATAATAAAAGTCCTTATCATGTATATTAGGAAGGCCAAGGCAAATATGAGTGATGTCAGGAAAACGAGTGAAAGTAGATTTTCAACTCTATTTAAGAGTGTATGTTTTGGAAATTTGAGTAATGACTTTATTATTAATGACAGAAACAAATACTATATGGGGAAGTAATAACTATAAAACTGACTGAAAATGAGTAAAAAAAATTTACATTGTGTGGTTAGTTTGGAAGAGATGGATTGATAATTTATCCACAGTATCCCCCTGCACACAGTCAATCCCATAATAATTTTGTCTATGTGGTGTTTAAAGGTAAGTTTATTGTTAGAGATGACACCAAGATAACAATGTTGGTGATCATCTCTGACATCAACAACAGCCACGCTGTGATTATTTGTTCTGAATATCTGATTGGAATTGGATCTGATTAGAGCAAAATTTATTGATACAGTCCTATTTATGTTAATGCTTAAATTAAGATTTTGGAGATTATATATGAGGGTATCTAGATTACTTAGTAAAGTAAGAGGATTACTATTTATGATCATGATGTCATATGCTTTAAACTGTTGTTAAAGAGGTAGGCAAGCTTAATCAGAATGTGATTGAAATGGGCTAAAAAAAAAAAAAAAGATATTACTTAGGATAGATTCTTGTTGGATATCCAAAAGTGGAGAAAAGTTCTGAAAGAAATCATCTTTAATTCTGACTAATGTTACATATTAGGTACATAACAGAAAATAGTTGAGTCAGGAAATTATGGTAATAAGTCAATGGTAATTGTTAAATATAGTCAACAGTTTGTGATAGAATGGAATCAAATGCTTTAGTCCAGTGTTTTTCAACCTTTTTGAATATGCGACCCCTTTACAAGTTAAAAAATTCAGGCGACCCCCTAGGGCCATATTAAAACTATATCAGTGATTTAAAAAATTATGTATTTAATTTTCTTTCTGTTGAGAGAAATTACTGTTGACTAAAATGAGAATTTAAGGAGAATCGACAATAACTTAAGACACGTATAGTATGTTACTTCCTTCTTATAATAACAATGGGTTCGGAGTGCTGTTGACCTTTTTTTTTTTAGGATGAAGGTTTTTGCATTTCAACTTTTCTACTTATTACTTCTTTTTACAAGTCAGCTCAACACTTTTTCGGCAATCATTTTCTGGGGTGGGCCGTACCCACCCAGGCCCCTCCCAGGCGACACCCATCATTCGGACCTAAATGTCAATCAAAAAACCAACTGTACTGTATAATAAACAGGTACAGCCTTCTCGCTGAAATTGTAGTTTTTTTAATGTAGTGTAGGACCTACAAACACTTGTCTTTTTCTTTTACCCGCGACCCACAGGTTGAAAAACACTGCTTTAGTCAAATCTCAAAATGTATTTCCATGAGGGGTTAACAAAGACTGATATTTTTTAAGACTAAGAAAGATAGTATTGCAGTTATGATGGTATTCATAGATAGGGCATCTGGAAAAAATCTGCACAAAATATCTTAAGCTTTAACTAACAGCTAGTAATTTTTATTTATATTGCAAGTGCTATAATTTGAAAGTGTGTGGAATGCTGTAGAACAATTTAGAATCTTTTTCTGCTGCTTTCAAAATGGCAAGGAAAGATTTTATACCTTAGAGTGTGTATCTTTTACATATTAAATAAGACATTAGAAAAAAGGATATATACTGGAAATCCTTGTTAGTTCAGAATTTTAGGGACAAAATAATTGCAACTTTCAAATTATCAATTTTTGAATTAACTGTGAGATTTACATATTTTCTGTACAGCATGCCAAATGCCACATAATTGATGTAATTTATTAAGCAAACAGAATATGGCTACATATACAGAATGCTATGTTTGTTAGTTTGTTTATATTATGTTAATTAATTATTAACTGTGAGTAAACAGCATGTGTCTGATAAGAACCTCACAGGTTTCTGGATAAGTTTTATAAAAAGTAAAGTAGAATTTCTCAAAATGTAAGCCCAAATTATTTTTTAAAGTGGCCCAAAAAGTAGTAAGTTGCCCAACTCTAGTAGTGTAGAGCCCTATAAATATCTCAATCTGCTACTTGTAGCCTAATCTTGGAATCCAGCCATATTTTATAAGAGGAAAAAAGGGTAGTTCATGGGTAAGGTGACATCCAAAAATGTGTAACAGTAAAAGCAAAGCCACATTGAACAGTTTAGAATTGTTCTTAGTCTACTGTTCTCTTATGGTATGGCACTTCAATCTAAGTCAGTGTTTCTCAACGGGGGCGATATCGCCCCCATGTGGGCATTTTTCCATGTTGAAGGGCGATTAGTAACAATTTATATTTTGGGGGCAAAAAACAATTTTCTGGGCGATATAGTAAAACATTACATTAAGAATAATTAGATATTTTATTCATTATATCGTACAATAATTAAACAAATAACATTATACTAGTCACTAGTCTATTCAATGCAGTATGAATTTGGCGTTAGTGTTGGCCCTCAGCATCAAAATTTTGTAGTGAAGGGGGCGATATTATGTAACGGTTTTACTGAAGGGAGCAATACTACATTGAAGGGGGCGATGATTCGTTAGAGGTTGAGAAACACTGATCTAAATGAAATGAGTTAACATATGCATATCACAGTTCAGACAGAATTTTCACTTAAGATTTTGAAGTAGTCATATTTCAAACTAACTGAATTTCTTAGCATGTAGATCTCTATATCCATGGCTGAGACAATAGTACAGTTACAAACTAATGGGGTTTCGAACTATCCATGTTCAAATTAACAAGAATATATAGTAGTTTAGATCTTACAATTGTAGTAGCCATGATGTTGACAATAATTGACTAATCATTCTCTCAAACAAAATCTGTTGCAGTAAGGCTTGCACATTTTAAGCCAGTATATGATGTGCACTATCTTATATAAAGGCTGTGGCATTCAGATAACTTCTCTGTTGCTATAAAACTATCATTCTAGCAATGCATCTCTATCTAGTGATATTAACAGAATAAGTTATTTGCCTAGCTGCAGATTTTTCTTCAAAACAAAAATAATAATAAAATATGCTAAAAAACTGCACCACACTGTTACTTTTGGTAAGTTTAATGGAATTTCTTGGTGACTGTGTGGATTTTGTCAGACCAAAAAAAGCAGTTGTGAATGTTCACATTACCATGAAAATGAAAATGAGCCTTATCACTCCACACAGTTTGTCAGGGTCATGTGTCATCAACAATTATTTGAGCTATAAAAATCTGGAAAATGTTTTATACTTATCATTAACACTAAAAATCAGTATTTGGCTCTGAGATAAAATGAGATTTTTGGGCTGCAATTGAAAAATTTAGACTTGTAAATTTCCACTGTCATCCATTTATCTGTCTTTTCTTAATCTTCAGAACGGAGTTAGTTAGATTAAATCCGAGACTAGATATTACCCGAGGAAACTTTATTGGTAGGAGGCCCCAATTAACTTTATACTAACCTCCAATGCAAACCGAATTTCACGTTATGTCGATTCAAAACTTTTCCGAAAGCAATTAATAGATGACTCTATTGTTAAAGGAAAAGTATGACATACGGGGGAGAGCCAGTACTAATTTGAGGTGGAGAGCATATATGTTAAATTAAATGAATTAAAAATATTATTAAAAATTGAAGCCCGGCATTATGATGATGCCACAATAAATAATAGCTTGTTTTGCATAACTTTTCACACTGTCATGAGGACATGTCTAATTGTATGTGCACTATTGCTATCATAAAATTTTTCATTTCATATTTCACTTCTGCAGTAGCAACATCTTTTGTTTTTATTTATTTTATCAATAGTTGTCCAATTGGTTTACAACCCTGTCTTGAAAGTCACAATCTTCTAAAAACTCAACATCATTCATTTTGATATGATTTCCAATCATCAGAAATTCTCTTTGGAAATTCTTTTGTTCCAAAATTCTTTAAGTGCCAAACTGTCATAGCTATTTCATTGATAGAAGAGGATTTTTGTGTTTTACTCCAGTGGTTTTCAATCTTTTCACACTTGCGGACTGGCAAAAATAAAGGAATTATGTTGCAGACTGGCGAACTATTAAGACTGAAATAAAAATCTAAACCTAAATAATATTTTTATTAACTAATTGAATAGAAATACAAATTTACATGACATTATTAGTACCCTGTCTACTGTTGCTTCTTTGTTAGCAAATCAGTTATTCATGGTTGCAGGTTTGTTTCTGAGATGAAGTACAGCATTTATATCCATTCAATTTCTCTGCTAGGTTTTTATTATTGACATTGCAGAAAAAGTCTTCTCGCATAAATAAGAAGTAGAAAAAACAATTCATTTGATAGCTTTATCACTCAATGTTGGATATTTTTTTTAAGCGATGTCCAAAATTGAGGCAATGACATTGTTTTATGTTTCAAAACTGGAGTGACATCAGTAGATAATTCTATCAGCTTTTTCTTAATCATGAAAATCAAGTGCACATGACTGGACATCTTTCAGGAAAGGATTATTAATCCAAAAGATGGATGAAAATTACTAATCATTCTTAATCTTCAATCATTATATCCAAATTATAGCCCCATCATTTATGATAGTTGTGGGTGTGTATATATATATATATATATAATTTTTGTCATTTAAATGCATAAAATATTGAAAAGGGTGTCCAAAAAAAACTACATTGAATATAACTACTGCTACTTTGTAATTTATTTAATTTCTTATGGACCAGCAGAAAATTTTTGCAGACTGGCACCAGTCCACGGACCACTGGTTGAAAAACACTGTTTTACTCTTTCTATATTGTAGACGTTTAGAAGACCTTTTTCCACAAGAAATGTGGAAAAAGGTCTTCTAAATGTCCAGATCCTCAACTATGGCCAGGTGATGGAGAGATTCAGCATATCCAGAACAGACCATGTATAAAAAATTTCCAAGGAGTTGTTCTGTTGGATTCCCTCTTGGATCCCCAGATCAGTAGGCTAACCTTAACAGCTTTGATTACGCAGCCAGTTTTTTTTTTTAAGACTGCATCACCTGTATCCTTCTGGCCTACTAGTGAGCCTGACAATGTTTTGCTTCAATAATCAGATTGAAAATGTTTTTGGCAATTCTCTATTTGTTGCTACTGACTCAATAGAAGAGTTTAACAAGTAATGCACAGTCAGGCAAAGTGAGTGCCACAACTGTTCACTTGTTAAGAATTGTGAAAAACATTTTCTGACTCCTTTTATATCTAAAATTTGTTAGAAAATGTACACTATGTGCACATTAAAGAGACAGTAGTGCCAAATTTCATTCTAACAGAAGAATTTTGAAATAAAATGTTTTTCCAAAATTAAATGTTTTAATGGTAGTATAAAATGCTTCTTGTTTGGATAAGTGTGTTAAATTTTCAATTGGCTATTAATATGCTTCGAAACTAAACTTATCATAATTGATTCCAATATGCATTTGGAATGCATATTGGAATCAATAAAATTGAAATGATGAAACAGTCCCATTAAAGTCATTTGTGGTTGTTATGATAAGTTTAGTTTAGAGGCATATTAATAGCCAATTGAAAATTTAATAAATGTTTTAATGTAGTGTTGTGTTCTATTTGATTTTGTTGACACTTGGAAAAGGCTTTAATTGGCCATAGTATCTTTAATAAAGTAAAACCACATACTCAAGATAGTATCAGTGTGTACAGCAAATTTCATTGAGAGTTACCTAATACTTCTTTCTACAGAGAGCTCTGAACATATCTCTAATTATGATCATCCAGTTTATGAGAAAGTATAATCAATAAAAAGATAGATTTTGAAGTTTTTGTTAAATTAAGCGTAAAACTTTTGAAATATAGTGAAAAAGAAAAATACAATTAATTGTTATACATTACAAGGAAATAATTTATATTAAAAGTGAATTTTTATTTGTTCTGTTCTTTAGTTCTGTTAAGTTTCAGAGAAAAATTTATTTTATGAAATACATTACATATTAATTTGACTGCTTTTCATTTAATTGTTTTTCTATGGTTTATTCTAAAAAAAATTTTAGTATTTTGTGCACGATTTAGTGATATACAAATTGATGTTTTAGGTTAACGCTTTGTATAAAGAAAAAAATGATTGAAGAACACATGATGAAAGTTGCAGCTAATAAAGACAAGAGACTCGATTTGGATCCCGAATGTTTACGATGGACACCTCTAGTATCTAATCCTTCGTTTTCGGACGAGGTAATTGTTTCGTAATTAATGTCGCGTGTATTAATTTTAATAAAATCTTATCAAATTATATTTTATAACTTTTTATGTAAATTAATTTTACAAACATTAGGATAAGAATTACTGTGTGTGTGTTTGTTTGTTTGTTTGTACAACTTTTCAAATAATTAAGCGATGAGAGAGGAGGATGATTTTTTCGATATAAGTGCAGATCTTCCACGTCCTTACTATTTTCTCTATACTTTTTAAAAACTTTTACCATTAATATATAATTGTTATAATATCTTAGTGGATCATTCTTATAACTTTAACACCCTGCCACCATTGCTTTAGTACTATAAAAATTGGCAAGGACGTTCTTATATCACCTCTCTTAATCATATTTGTGTTTTTGTGTGTTGATTTGAAGAATTTTTGTATCCTTATTTTTAATCTGAATTCTGTAAATCGCTGGTTGTTGTTTAATTGCAATATTTCTTCTTTTATACAGTCAACTTAAATAAAAAACAATATTGCTTTAACATTTATTTTTTAGATGTTTCCTTGTAATTTTTAATAGCTCCCAATCTTTTATAGAAATTTCTCACTTTCCAGATTCGTTTACTGTGATCTCTCTTCTTTTTTAATAAAACTATATCTTGTTTATAAAATCGTACTGCCGTTTTTTATTATCAGCATAGAGGTATGAAGGAGTACATGTCAAGAGTTGATATTTGGCACAGGTGCCCAAATCATTTGCGTATAAAAAATCCAGACTCGTAGGTAGTCAGGGAACTGAGAACCGAGTCAAAATAAAATCCAAAATGGTAACCCTCTTCTACAAACAGGCAAAACAGCCACCTCACCGCACCAGAAGTCAGGTGGGGGAGAGTACCATCCACAGTCGTTGTAAGAAGTGAACTCTGACCTTAGGACTGAACACGTAGTTTCTTCTATGTTAAATAAAATTTGTAAGCTAATTTTGTAAATTTGGTAGTGCTTCAAATATGACATTAAAACAGGGTGTCGTTACAAGTAGGTTTTTTTAACATTATCTAGTATAGTAAAATCGTGAGGCCAATAAAAATTTGACGTTATATTAGAGTTTTCGTTACATTCGATGACGTTATAATAGGGTCAAACTGTATATTGTTTGCGCAAAATAAAAAAAAAATAATTTTGGACAATACAATAGCCACGATTATTTTTTCAAAAACGGGAAATTTTCGTTACTTATCGACAAAAATTCAACCCGGGCCGACACGCAACGGAGAGAAATTTCGAAATTGGATAGGTTAATTTCATCGAAAATGCATTGTGGACGACCTTGTGGTTATGGCCAGCAAAGTTTGAACGATCACGTTCAAAAGCAGAGATACCAAAGAAGATTGAAGAATGGGAACGAGACCTGCCTTAAGCTTCAAAGTGATTCTGCTTAGTAGCGAGTCTCCGAGACAGTCTTGTCCCAAATACGGTTTTGCCGTTTTACTTGTTTCCTTATAATATTGTCTTCAAAAAAAAAAAACAAGCATTCTGTTGTTCTGATTATATATAAGAATATTTCTTTAATCCCAAACTGTTTATCTGTTAAACTATCTATCAATAGTTGATACTCCAACTTTATTTTATTATACAGTATTTTACTTTTTAAAACAATGCCCTCAATGTCACTACTTTGTATTTAAACGGATTATATAATTTTTAAAGAGAAGTTGAAGAGAATGTTTCTTTATGCTTCAGTTATTCTTCTATACATATAGCAATTTACAAATATATTTTTCTTCTTCCTAACTATAACTTTAGGTTCATGTTATTCTGGCACAAGTTCCTAAAATATAGTAATAACTTCACGTGCAGGTATTTCTTACACTTAGAGGTTACGAAACGAAATTTTTTCTAATAATGGATATTTTCCTGGGTGCGCGAGAAATCCGTTTTTCGTAATATAACGGTTGATTTTCGGCTGCCCGAACGATCCGTTAAAACAAGATTTTACTGTATATCATCTTCCATATAGTCATGTTCATAACTATTAATAAATAACTTTGTGCGGCATCCTTTTATCTATCCACTGTTTAACTATTTCATCAGTAACGTTTTTTTTTTTCAAACGAGTTTTTATTACAAAAAAATATATTATAGTATACAATACACCATAAATTGAATATTCTGGTATTGGAATGGAATGAAATTTAATAATTCATTATTATTTTCATTTCATTATAATTACTTAATATGATTAAATACGTGTAAAAAAAGTCATTTTTTTCTGTCTAGAAAAGTTGTAATATAAGTATTGATATCTTTTTAAATTCTGTATTAATAAGAGTGTTTTTATAACATTTTCATGTTATTGAACATAACATACTCTTATTAATAAAACATTATTAATTTTTTTTTTGCATTATTTTAAGAAACTTTTTCTGTTTTTTTACTTTTAGGAAGAAGATGCTCAAAACAAAAATCAAAATTCATTTCCCAAAGAAAATGCGAAGGCAGAAGCGAATTCAGAAAAAGCCAGCATACAAAACAGTTTGCCAAAGAAAGTTGCGGAGAAAAAACTTAAGAGGAAGCAGAAGTGTTCCGCGAGTGACGACGAAAATATATCTGAGACGTCCGAATCGAAACACAAGAAAGCAAAAATCAATTCAGTATTATCGAACGAAAACAAGTTATCTTTGGGAAAAGACGATAAAGAAAAATTTGAAAGAAAAAACAAATCGAGAAAATTTCTTGTAAATACAAATAATTGTTGTAAAGGTTTGTATTGCTATTGTTTAATCAAATTTTATATATTATTAAATGTTAAAAGGAATCCTTTATCAAAGTTTATGCAATTAGCGACATAATAAGGTTGGAGAGTTGACCCGAAGACACACATTGACGTCCTTTGGAATGTCATTAGAGAAGAGTTTATTACATTCTTATTGAGAAATCTTTATTTTCAACTCTAAGAATTAATTATTTATTATTTTCAACCTCAATAAATGTTTCATTCTGTTTAAATCGTATCCTAAGTTTTCATATGAAGTACTACACAGTAGTACGTCTAACTTGGAATTAAATTCCGCAAAAGTTCGCCTCGGCGTTCGAATTGCGAAATAATAATCTAAACATAATTCTTACAAAAAAAGGATATAAATTTTTTAAAAAGGGTGTGGAGACAACGAAGTTAAAATGGAACTTATCGGCTATTAAAAGTTTACAATTTTGTAAAAGTATAAGCAGGGCCAGCTTAATGGGTACCTTAAGCGAAAAATGAGACAGGTAGTTGAAATGTTCAAAAGCAGAAGAATAAACAAATAATAATCCAGATACAACAGCCAAATACCATAAATGTATTTTAAAGTTTATAAATAGTTCTTACAAGAGTGCCAACGTTAAGTTAGAAGCGGGCCACGAAAATCTCGGCCCTTTTCGAACAAATGGAGAATTTTCTTTATTAATAAATGTTTCGAAGATTTTTTTTTTGTTAGTAAAAATAACACTAATTTATAGAAGTAGTGTCGTTTCGGTTTTCCTTACATATTTTGAAGCGATTCAGAAAATTGTTGACAAAGTTCGTATGTCGTCTGCAATTTTCCCACCGCACAAGTACCCCACTATAAAAAGAAATAGTATTGTATATACGTATATAAACCGGTGATCGTCCCCTCTAGATCGTTCCACGCATCCACTTTTTCTCCCGCCGCCGTTTAAACGTCAAATTTATAACAGAAATGAAATTTTTTGCTTTGTAAAACAGAAACGATCGGACTGTATAAGTCAAAAGAAACGTTTAAAATTATTTAGTGGGAATTTGAAAAAAAAAAAGTGTAAATTAAAATAAGGATTTTGTGTTAATTAGATTTGGAGACGGAGGACAGAAGAACTCTGAGTGCAATAAACAGCAAGCAGAGGAAGACGGGCAGGAGCCAGAAGAGAATGGCGTCGTACGCCGAGGCCACCACCGAGTCCGAAAGTAATTCCGCTCCCCCCGTTCTGCTACCCGCGGTGGGTGCGGACAATTCGGCAGCCTCGCGAGACAACGACTCTTCTCCGCCGGTGCTTCAGGCTCTGGTCTCCGTCAACGAAGGCAGGAAGCAGAACTCCACCTTCATCAGTTCGCTGAGGAAGAGAAGAGGATGGCCCAAAGGGGTCAAGAGGGGTTCTCCCGTCAAGAAGGCCTTCTTCAGAAGAGGCAGACCGCGAAAGGTGATCCTTTCCATTCATTTCAAACTTCTACACGCTAATTAATGCTTTTCAAATAATGCAAATGTTCGTTTTTTCATAAAACACGTTTCGTCCAAAACTTCCAACGACGTTAACCCACGCTCTTTTAATCTCGTTCGTAATTTTTCCGCTCGGATTCGTTTCCGATTGTCATTTTATTAACCGCCTGGGTGTAAGGGATAGTCAGCCTACGCAATAACCCGGTCGTCCGAAAGCGGGAGTCAATATTTAGTACCGGGTTCTAACACGTAGGACCTCCGGTCCTTTAGTATCGAGTGGAAAAGAGCCTAAAGTTGGAAAAAACGTCCTCGAATTGGAAAAAACGCGGGACCGAGTATAAGGCCAACGTTTATTCTTCCGTCCGTCGACGATTCCGTTTAATTTATACGTTTATTTCGAAGATGTAGTGGGACCCCGATTATCCGGGGTAAGGCGGACGAAAATCGATGCCGTTTCGTGTTAAAAATTGCCGCGACTTTTAAGCCGTTATTTGGGTGCGCGATCTTCATTTTAAACGATTTTAGGAATTGCGGTAGGAGGAAAATACGTTTGGGATAACGCGTGGCGCGGGTAAGCGGCGGGAAACACGTGTCGACATTTTCGTTTTGTCTTGCGGATAATTGATTTGTACGTTTTGCAGATTCGACAGAAGTTTCGAAGGCGGATGACCAAAGAAGAGGAAGGAGACGACGACAAAGAAGCGTCCGACTTTCCGGAACCCACGGAAAACAAAGAAAGCGCGGAGAACGTACGGGAGGAGGAAAGTCCGGAGGCCGCCCAAGTCTCACCGTCGCAGGAAGACGGAGAAGAAGAATCTCGAGAAGTACCGGCGGAAAACGAGAACGAGAACCGGAACCAGAAGGCGAAGGAGGAGGAGGAAAATCCCCAGTTACAAACGGATCGGGCGACGGAACCCGCTTTTCCGGAGGAGTCTCTTCGGGAGGAAGAGAAGACCGCGCAGTCTCCCCTTCTTCCCCCCACGGACACGGCGCAGAACCCGGCGCCGGAAGAGGAGGAAATCTCCCACCCGGCCGAAGACGCCGAACCCGGAGAGGAGTGGGGCCGGGACGCCTTCTGCCCGGGAAGCGAGGCGGCGGCCGAAGGCACCGAAGGGGAAGGGAAGACAGCGGAGTCGGTGGACGACTGTTCGGAGTACGCGCAGACGGTTCAGCTGCCGCCCACGCCCGTCACTCCGCAGACGCCGCCCTCCAATCTCTACAAGGGCCAGGCGGGCCCCGCCTCCGCCTACGGCCCGCCCGAAGACCACTCGGACGGCGTCTGCAGCCAGGAGGCCCGCCTGGCCGTGGCCTCCATTGTGCCCGGGGGATCCCCCGAGGTGGACGTCACCCCCGGCTACCGAGAGACGCCGGTGTCCCGGGCCAATCTGGAGCCGGCGGACCAACCCTCGCCGGCCGCCGACTTCGCCCCCGACGGGGACCTTCGGCAGCCCGACCTGCCGGAGATGGGTGCCCACCCTCGCTCGGCTCCAGTCCCCGCCGCCAAGCACCCTCCCGCCTCGCAGGAGATGGCCGCCATGGGCGTCTACACCCCGGATTCGTCCACCAACAGCGTCATCTCCAACGCCGGGTACAATTCGGTGGAGATCGACGTGGCCCAGTTGGGCCTGGAGTCGCCCGCCTCCATCGGCAGCAACGAGATGGCTCAGAATTCCGTGGACACGCCCCAGCCCGCCCCCACTCCCCAGCCCTACCCCGACTGCGTCCAGCAGATCCAGGCCGGCTTCTGCCCAGCTTCCGCCGTGGGGGGCCGCGCCTCTCGCGGCCTTCCCCCCGACCCCGCCGCCGCCGCCCGGGCACACTCGCAAGCGCACACTCAGGTCAACCCGCCGTTCTCCACTCGCTCCAACAGTCCGGTGCGCAGGTCTCACTGCGTCTCCGCCCCCCTCCCCTCCCACCTCAACCACGCCTCCGCCTCGCCCTCTCTGCCGGGCGCCGTGCGCACCTCCGTGGTCAACGTCAACCCCGCCCCCGTCAACGCCGTCTTCGTCGGACCCGTCTCCGGCGGAAGCTACGCCGGACCGGTCAACGTAGCCGTCTCCTGCGCCAACCCCGCCGCCGCCGCCGCCGGCTCCTACGTGGTGGGCGTGCCGGTGGCCGCCGTCATCCCCCACCGGTCGTCGGCCGCCCCCTCACCCGCCGCCGGCCATCACCGCCAGTCGCGGGCCGCCCAGGGGACCTCGGCGCGCCCCCCGGCGGCCACCCTGGCCTCCGGGGCCATGCAGAGACTGACGCACGTGGGCATCGGGCTGCCCTCGGGCGCCGGCGGCTCGGCTTGCACCGCCGCCTCCTCGGTGCCCGCCGCATTCCACCTGCAGCCCCCCTGCTACGCCTACGCCCCGGCCCCGGCCGCCACCTCCCACTCGCAGAACAGCACCAGCTGTAGCCTGGCCAAGCTGCAGCAGCTGACCAACGGCATCATGGACATCGTGCCCAACGCCGCCTGCGCCACCATGACCCCCCCGCCCAACTACACGCCGCCCTCGCCTCAGATCGAGGCCACGCCCCCGCCCCAGATGCAGCGCTCGGCCGCCCCGATGCCGGCCGGACTGCGGCCGCAGGTGTCGTCGCCGGCCGGCTCGCGGGCCTACGCCAAGTACAACTACGGCTACCACGGGCAGATGGGGCGGGGGGCCAACGTGGCCGTGGGCCCCAACCTGGTGACGGGCTACCAGACGCTGAACGGAGTGGGCTACCAGATGCAGCAGGCGGCCTCCCCGGCGGCGGTGCTGAACACGGCGGGTTACATCGCCAACGCCGGCTTCGTCAACCAGGCGCAGCTGCCGGCCGTGCAGATGGGCATGGTCAACGTGCACCCGCAGAGCCAGTACCAGGAGGCCCTTCAGACGGCGGGCTCCCAGAACGCCATGTATACGACCTACAGCTACCACATAGGCGGGGGCCTGCCCTCGCAGACCCTGAACCCCGTCATGAGGCGGTAACGTTTCTACTCGGGCGCTTTTTTACTCGGAGACGAAAGACGTTTTAATAGTGAGATCACGGAGCGCGGCTTCCGTGATTTTTTAATCCACCGTCTTATGTAAATACCGATGTATTGTGAATATGAGTGACGCTCGTCTTTTCCATTATTCCACATGGTGTAATTACCGATGTATATACAGTACATACAGCATATAAATATATATAAATATATAAATATGAATATAATTTAGGGTGTACGGGGTGGGGGATGCGCCCGCCCATCCACACACCTCCCTCACTATGTATATAATTTTTTTTAAGGGAAGTGGCGTTGTTCCGGGCGTTACGTCGCATTCTCCATCTAATTTTGTATTACCAGAGAACGGAGAGGTCGCCGCTTCTTTTTCCCGTTCGTCACGTTTCAGTTATTTGTGATATTTACGGAATTGTTATGCACAAATTGTATAATCCTCATTCGGAGCTCGCGCGGAGGACCCGGTTGGTCCTGCCCGACCTTTTCGTGCACCGGCCGGCCGCCGGTTACGGCCCGGAGTACTAACTACTGAACTTGGTGTTGTGTACCGTAGGTCGATCCTAACGAAAGTTATTTGTTCCAATCGATTATTATTAAATAAAAAAATTACACACCGAACCGCTCTCTCGCCCTTTTTTAACAGACGGGTTTTGTCGTAATATAGACGTATTTTACCGTATAATGGCAAACCGGCGACGTTAGACCATGTCAAAATATAACGCCCGTCGAAGCTCCGGCTTTGTTTTCTCCCGCGGATATAGAAGTTTCCGTCCATATAATTCGGTAAATCTAACTGGAGTTTTTTTACGGACGGTAACCAGAGGCAAGATGGCGGAAACAATACGGCAGCCACGATGGACGTCAATAAAGGTTCGAGCGCGATTGGTGGCGCAGTTTTATAATCTAACGTTAAACTTACCTTTGGCTTATACTAAAATTATAAGGTAAAAACCGTTAAATATTTTATCGCTACTGCCTTTTACGCGGTAAGAGTCGTATAAAAGTAGCAAATTTCCTACGATTACCACTCGTTACGTAATTATTGTATGGGAGAATTCCTTAGACGTTATTTATTATTCCGCAGCTACGCGTGCGCTAAGTTCTAAAATAATAGGCGCTAACGATACGCGGCCGGGTGCTGGGTTTATTCTCGATTCCATCTACTGCCACCGAGGTCGCTTCTCGACGCTATTCGTCGATTAAAATTCGATTTCCGCTTTAACGAGTTTGAAAGAAAAAATTTCCCCCAAATCGAAAAATAAATGTCAAGGAAGACATAAATTTTGAACCGAAAGATAAATAACGCCGTTTATAAATTCGTAGCCTAAAATATGGATAGTTTGACATTTGATTTCCATCAAGAAAAGAATTTAACGCGACGATGAAAAATGGGGAAGAGCGGAAATTGTCGAGTTAAAAAATCATTGCTTATACGTTAATTGGCGAAATAAATTTTACTCTTGCTACAGTAAAACTGACGGTTCTAAATGAGCTTTTCCATTATCTATACTAATATTATAAAGAGGTAATGTTTGTAAGTTTGTATGCAGCGGGTAATCTCCGAAACTACTCATCCGATTTCAAAAATTCTTTCACCAATATTTACAATGGAACTTCAGGGTAGACATAGGCTGTATATTATTCCGTTAAACATTCATATAAATTAAAAGATATCATCTATGGTTAAGGCTTTTATGTCCAATAGGTGGCGCTACGAGTACGACGCCCTAAGTTTGCTTTTCTGTGAAAATGAACTAAAGCGGATCATCATCTATTTATATAAATAAAAATGTAATGTTCGTTCGTTCCTACCGATTCCTTTGAAATTTTCACACAACGCTGCATTCGAATACGCACGTGTTTTTATATAATATACGTGTCGAAATTCCCCCCCCCCACTGAAGGGAGATGGTTAGGATTAAGGCTCACCGTAAAGAACTCTGCTTCTATTTATACTATTTTAGATGCGGTTTTTTGCGTTTTAATAGGGTACGTCAACAGAATATACACTAACAAGTAAGAAGAAATTTTTTGAAAAATTCCCCCTCACGGGGGAAGTGTTATAAAGTTTTAATAGGGTATGTCAAGAGAACATCAAATAAGAAGGGATTTTTTGAAAAATACTCCCCCCCTCACGGGGGAAGTGTTATACATTTTTAATAGATATATTTTGAGCCACAACAACGCGTGGCGGGGTCTGCTAGTTTAATTAATAAAACTCCAACGGATGCCTCGATATAATGCCTTCGACGCAAATCGGGGATTTAAAAAGTATTATTCGTTCTACGAGACGTTTTTATGCAAATTGTCGACAAAAAATAAATTTAGTCGATTAAAACATTTAATTGCGGAACGAAGAGGGAACGAACAGGTGTCGCTGCGGAAGCGGAACTTGGAAGATCGTCTGGCTTTGTGTTCGAGTGTTTCTCATTGTGCGAAAAATTACGTAAACCGACCAAGCATTTGAAGTGGAATGGGACCGAACCGACATTCCTCCGGAGTACGAGCGGCAACCGGTGAGAAAATTCATTTAATCTCGTTTTTTTTTTTTAGTTCAGACGTATCTTCGGTCTCCCTCCAACGACACTCGGCGGTAATGGAGATGCCAAACGATTAGAATTAGTGTTTTGCGGTCGGAATATAATTAGATTTGCATTCCGGATGTGACCGTAACGGAGTCCTACGACGTGTTCGTGGGAGAAAAAAACGTGTGACTATGGCGAAATTGGCCTACGGTCTGTCCGGATGCTCCGTTTAACAGAGACCGGCGCGTTGGTCGGACGTTCTAACGATATTTTTCGGCAAAGAATAAAAGCCGACGCGTCACCTTTTGCCAGACCTTCGCCTCAAAATATGGAAACCGAGGGCGTCTGTTCCGGTCGCGTTGCCAGCCGCGCTATAGACGCGGCGGCCTATGCCTATAATAAATGCATTAACTTCTACCGACCGAAAGTGTTCTTCTCCCGAACCAGTACTATTGCCAATTTTCCACGCGGGGTGCCTAGCCGCGCGCTGGCGTGGGTGAGAACCCCGCACCCCCCTAAAACTATAACGTCGCGTACCCCTCCCGTCCCGAGGTCCTAGAATATTCTAGGACCTCGCAGACAGCCGGCGTAGCCGCGTGGGCTGAATAGTTAACGTATAACGAGTTATACAACGTTGACGGTAAGATAAACAAATGATAAACGTGATATTTTACTCTTCGGATTCGGCGAAAAGGCTAACGTTGCGTATGAAAAAAATCGCAAGTAATTTAAAAATTTAACTTATTTTCATTTTTAACTAATAGAAATTACGAATAAAGCGTAGGTAATTTGTAACCCAGCGGAATACACCACGAATCGAGTCCCGTTTGCCGTAGCGGCATAATATACAACTAATGTTGGCTTGTTATCGAAAGCGTTCGGTGTATGTTGTCTCGGGTCTCGTTAACCAAAAACAATTGATGGCGGACTGTTTTACTTCTGTTTGGCTAAGTAAAAAATTATGACAATTTGAACGACACAGTGGGGACTTGTATAGTGAAAGTCGACAGAAATCGTTAAAAGGTGGTCGAAACTTCTCTGCTTTTGCGCTTACGCGTGTGGAGTGAAAGTAAATTGAAACCAAATGTCTTTTATCTAAAGTTATTCTTTGGCACTTATAGGCTTTTATTTGCTGTTAACGCGATTTATTACCCACGGGTAAATCGATAATCTCCGATTACGTTTGTGATATTTCGAGTAATAATAATTTAAGTTATTTAAAAATGATCCGTTCCGTAAGTGCGGTAAACGTTTATTTCAATAGACAACGTATCGTCTTTGTAATTTTGGGTGAAAATGTTTCTTTATGAACTGTTCTAGAAGCCAGCTGCTCGTTCCAAGTTTATCGTAAATACCACGTATTTTGTTTTTCGGTATTGACTATGTTGAATGAAAAATAATAAGTGTTCGACGAGCATCTCTTTCGAGAAAAACCTTATTTCAAACAGAGGCAATACTGTTTCGCGCAATTGGAAAACCAAATTTCTCGAAAAACGTAAAAATTGTCCCGGCCATCTTTCCTCCGATCTACGCTTAAAAACCTCATTTTTTCTGTCTGATTTTAAGAAAAGGTCTTATTTCCCGCTAGCCTATTGCCATAGGCTAGCGGGAAATAAGACGGATTCCTAATTTATAAGGAAATCTGGCTACAGACACGTATCGGTTTTCAAACTACGTTGTCGCTATACATACAAGAAAGATATCGGCCGAACACGACACGTTTAGCCGACAGAAAAGAGGATAAGGGAAAGTTGTGGGGAAGGAGGAGGAGAGAGACGATAGTAGAGAAAGGTAGGATCCCTCCGAATGGCGTACTGTACAGTACATATGGCTACAGTACCCTCTACGCGTTCACTCTTCAGACTGCGAGGCCGTAGTCCCCCGAAGTCTCTAAAAGAAAACCCGAGTGTAGCGAACATCAATAATTGAGTGCCGCCACGAATAGCGAAGCGTAGAAGTTAGTGCTTCGATTATACGGACATCCGAAAAGCTGGAACGACTCGGAAGATCCATCGATAGAAAATGAAACATATTCCCAAAGAGTTGTCATTTACGGCTCGACCAGCTTGCGTTCCGCGGGTAAAGTGATAAAAGAAGTACCGTAACTCGTATAACACCATCACCGGCAGCCAAAATATCGGACTGCTTTTAAAAAGAGAAGAAGTAAACAAAAAAAAAGTTTGATAAGGACGTTTCGGGATTGTTATCGCAACCGGACATTAGTTTTTCTATATAAATCCGTATAGAAAATCTGGTAGCGATAACTGTAAAGATTCGCCAGAGACTAATAGCAAAATATGTTAAAATGTTTGTCAAAAATTGATGTATTTGGCCCTACTGCGCGACAGTCAAATTTTTCTTAGCGTGGTCCAAATTGTTATTTTTTACCTTTCGGATGTTTTTGGATTTAAATTATCTCCGTCGCGTTTAACATGTTTTTCCAATGTTCTTTTTAAGTTTGATATTCCAACTGAAGAAAGTTTTTGGTTAAATATGTTACGCAGTTATCCGCTTCTTTTGTATGATTTTATCAAATTATTTTGTAGTATTATTAATCTTTATTAGCATAAATGGTGGGCGATTACAAATGTTAAAATATACATTCGGTATATTTTAAGATGTGAAATTTGTATAATTTCCTTTCATATTCTTAAATTTAGTTGGCTATCTTATAGTTACGTCTTCGTTCACAATTTTAATTAAAATTATACAAATTGTATAATTCCTTCTTTCCGAGTTTACTCGTATTTAAGTTTTGTCTAAAGTCTCGAGTTAAGCTTTGCTGGATTATACGAAATATTCCAAATGATTCTCGTATTTGTGTAAATTTCTCTGTCTTTCGGTATACCTGTTATTGTAAAATCACTGGAGTCGCGCCAAGAAGTTTCGCCATTCGCTGGAAATGAATATCTAACTTATTTAGTCATAGTTAAATTAACCCTTTTACATTTATTCCCAATGGTTTGTTTATATATATACGGTATTTTGTATTATATACAGTAGACCCCCCTATAACGCTTAGATACGTTCCACGTTAATCGAATTTTACGTTGTTGGAATGATTAAATACATGAGCCAATCGCAGCCGGATAG